TTGTTCTTCTAATGGAATGATGCTCCCCCCGGGTTATTTCAACCTGCTCAACTTATCGATGAGGTTCGAAAAATATGAGCAAAAATTAACTGCGTGTAGCGTAGAAAAATGAAGAAAAACACTGCAAGTTAAAGTCAAAAAAACCGCTCCGAATTTGCTTCCTATGTGAGGAGGGGTCACCCGAGAAGGCAAGGGGGGTAACTTTGCCCGAGTGGTAACAAATGCCAATATCAACCATCTGTCTGCAAGACTGCCAATGGATCTTCTCTTGGAGGTTGTTTAGAATCAAGATGACAGTAGGTTTGATTCCTTGGCATATGCAAGTACCAATTAATCATCAAAACTAATGAAACAGCTGTAGAGGTGTTGGTTGTCCCATCGGCAGATTCGAACCCTCGATCTACTCCACAACAGCACCACTTTCCACTACGCTATCACTGTGGGCCAACTGTAAGTACCGTTATGAAAAAAAGGGGTATACACTGCAAGTAATAAGTAGATTGAAGCTTTGCTTGAATAATCATCGGTCTTTTCGTAACTATCACATTATTTGTTCCTGGAACTAGTCATTTTTTTGGCTATTTTCGATCTCGAAAGATATTTTCTGTTGAAAAAAAAAAAAAAACAGTAGCTTATTGTAATTAGCAAACGCATTGTAGGGGATAAAATTAATTAAAACGCCAGCGACTCACTTCATTTCTCCCTTGTTATTATCACAATCTTACTGTATGTGCAATGCTAGTGCCTTAATAAACATATTTGCAAAGTCTAAATGACCACTGTAAAGTTTGAGTGACCAAAAAAAGAAAGATGTTCTTTTTAACATTTCGATGGCGATCCTGACGTATTCATTTTGTCTTCTGAAGAATAAGCAGTTCAACAGTTCGCTCGACAGAAGCAGTACGGCAAGGTTTTAGCCATTTCAAAATGCCACTGATCTACGTTGGGCTGTATCCCTATACCGTGATAGGACCCCTCATTAGCTTGAAAATACATAAATAGGCCTTGAAAACATTTGTTTGTTTATATATTACCACCAATATTAGCTCTGGTGAAAGCATAAAGATAAGGTAGTGCTGGAGCACGAATGAAGAATGATAGGTGATAGGGAGTATTATTCATTAAATTTATCTCCTTTCATCTTTCTCAAAATTGTAACACATTTCCTTATACAAAATTTATTTTACTTCATTTATGCCGTTCATCAGTACCACAGTCGTCGTACTGACGAGGTCCAGTCGTGGTGCTGAACAGAAATGTTTACAACTTAAGGTACCGAAACATTCCTGTTCTTCCAATTTTTTAATATAATTTTATCTTTTTTTATAAATATATAAATATAATTAATATATCTCTTTGTTACTAACGCACATCACTACCGTGGGATAATCCGAAGGGATTATCATTTATCAGTAATCGCCGCTATCAGTTCTGTCATATTACATATCAGTAATATATCATGCAAATGTATCAGGGCAAAGCTGCCATGAATCATCATTTAACAAGATTTTCGTTGAACAAGAATTTTCAGTGAGATGGGGAGAGGATACTGGCAAGAAGAGGGGGAAGGGGAAAGGAAAAAGAGGCAGGAAGATAGCCTAAAAACCTGTTCGACGAAAAATTTGCGCCATTTATTATCCTGTTTTGCCTTCAAAAGTTGAAACCTCCGCTGTCCATT